GCCTGACCTAGGCAGCAAATATTAAAAAAAGAGTCAGAAATATGCCCTGTTCTTACTCGAATGCCAACTGAAGCAAGCATTAGCTCTTTCATGATAGTCATCTGCTGCTCTTTAACTTCACAAAGCGTTGTCCCGCCACGCTCATTTCTGGAATAGTTCTCTTGCCCATCACTGATTTTTTTTGCTTTTGGATTTGCCTTACTCCATTGCCTATGTTCTTTTCGAGTACATTTAATATTGAAATGGACAACTCTGATGATGTAGTAGTTTGGGGATGGCAAACTTGATCACCTGGGATATGCAAAGCTGACAGCCGAGGATCTGTTCTGGTTTTACAACTAAAAGGAGGAATTTCCCCCTATTTGCTGGGTGCGTGCGCAAGGGCCCTCGATTAGAAGCTCTGCACCGAACTTCTGCACCCACCTGAATGCCACGCTTGGTGCTTCAGGTGGCAGGTAATACCTGGCACGTCCTCCGAATTTGCACAGCAAAGTCGTGACCAAGGTAGTTCAACTGGGAACTTGTGTTGATTGGCTTGAAAAGCCAGGAATTTCCTTGGGCACGCGGAGGCGGCAAGTGTCTTCAGCGTTGGGACTGCCTGGTTGTTGGTATGGAGGTGGCTTCGTGTATTTTCTGTAACTGGCTTTTTTCACGTCTGCAGTATAGATTTTCTTTTTGTCTTGTAACCGCTTTCTTACTGTCAGGATTTAATAAATCGTCTAAAGGTTGAGAGTCACTTTTTATTTTGAAATCCTTAGACATATTACTTTGTTCTGCCTAGAACGAGTGGGTTTGGGTGTATAACAAGCCAATTTATTGGCAGAGCAGAAATCAATGGCACACATACACAAGACTTTCCCTATTTTAATTAGACTAGAGAGACTACTCTTTAAACAGCAGTCCAAACAGTATGTTGCAGAAACACACAAAAACCTAATTTAAAGGGCCAGGGATCAAACTTCTCCATTGTTTGCTGCGAATCCCCTAAAAATAGAAATCCCAAAGCTACCAGGCCAGCACAGCTGACTGATTAATTCTCACAAAGAAACAAAATCTGCAAAAGTGTATGTTACAGCACCATCTAGTGCCTCTTATCCCGGCAATACAGTGAATTAATACTACATAAAATAACATACTACATTAACATAGTAAATTAATTTTCCACTTAATTCGAGTATGTAGGTGGAGAAGACTGAGTGCATTGGCTGTTTCTACGTTTTGACAACTTATTTTATCTCAACTAGCGCCGAGGTAGAAGGATGCTGAGGCATGTAAATGAGCTTTGGCTTTTTACATGGCGAAGATTTTGTCAGTACAGCTGGGTTTTGGTCGCAGAGTTTCCAGTACTCATCATTTTATTATGATTATTATTGCATTTAGTGTTTCCTAAAAAAAAAAACCAACAGCTCCTTCAGTCATGTGAATTATTTGAGAATCTCAGTAGCCATTAAAAAAAAGAGTTCTATCCCTCAAGACTGCAGAAACGAGCTTAAAAGTGTGACTCAAGTGTACCCTTGGCAATTAAGAAAAAAACCCCAACAAATCAAACAGATTAGCATATCAAAAGAAGCCAAAATATTTAGCATAACGTTTTTTAATCAGATCCCAGGGTTAAGAGGAGAAATGGCTCATATTTTTTTAATACTTCAGTTTGCCAGACTGCGATCTAGCCTGACAATAAAAACGTTGGATTTTTTTATTAGGGTATATGTCCCAGGTACAGTACCCTGGAATTATGCATAGTACACTGAGATAATGCAGAAAAAGCTATGGAATCTTAACTTAATAATTTAAGTGATTATCATATTCTTATAGATGCTTAATGTATCATCCCAGGCCTGTTTGTGATGCATTCCTCGTTTGGCAAACGTGATATTGATTGTTGCTCTACAGGCATACTCAGTTCAGCATACAGAGTGAGTGTTTTGAAATTTCCCACCCATGATGGTAAGGAAATGACTGCTATTTACCTTTAAAATGTTAATTAACTTTAATTAATTCTTTAATGCTGAAAAAAAAATATTTTGCTTGCTGGCTCATCACTGGTTTACTCTGTCACTGGTCTGGGAAGAATATTATTGCTGAACTGAAATTGGACGTATTAAAGAAAGCGGAAAGTGCAGAATTTTGCCCTGTGAAAAAGGCTTTATTTGGGAGATAACAACCAGGGCCGAGATACTGAGGAACTGTGAAATGCTTGGGAACGCTGTATGGGATTTAATGGTTTGTAACAGTCTCCAGCGAGTGCCAACAGCCATGAAATGTAAGCATTTTAATACAAAGGGAGAAATCCCACAGCCATGGTCTGGCAGGTTAGTTGGTTTGGGTTTGTTTTGAAGAGGAAGGTAATGATAATAAATTATGAGATAGAGCATTTGTGTAAGAGCTGGGCAGTGTGGAGGCAGCCCCACCAAACTGCCATTTTTGGGGCGTTATCAACCAGGTTTGCATCCTGTGAACCGTTTCTGGTGACCACACCAGCCTCACATCAGGACAACCCTTTGCCCTTTCAGCTGACAAGTCCCAACCACTTTCTTTTAGCAGCAGTATGAAACACAGTCTTAATTTTTTTTTTTTCTTTGTGAGTAAAAAAATATTTGTACTAATATCTCAGTTCTCACAGAGAGGAAACCATTACTTGTGCAGCAGCGAGGCACAGTAAGTGCCACGTACAGCGCACCTGGGGTTTGGTGCTGTGGAAGACGTTAAGCCATGGACGCACGTCAAGCACTCTGCCAACCACCCAGGCGTTTTCCTGAGGCACAAGCCTGGCAGCAGCGCTGCTTTTGCGAAGATTATATTCGAAGCCCACGCTAAGTGTTCCCACAGCGGTGTGCCAGAGGACCGGAGCTGCGGTTTCATGGCAGAGGGGAGGCGATGGGCTGGTGGGATCTTCAGCTGCGGGAAGCAGTCGGCTTGTGCCGGTTGTGCGAGGTCTGTCCCAGGGTCTGTCCCAGGAATAGGGAGGTTCTCCTCCCCCTCTACTCTGCCCTGGTGAGACCCCACCTGGAGTACTGTGTCCAGTTCTGGGCTCCCCAGTTCAAGAAAGACGAGGAACTCCTAGAAAGAGTCCAGAGGAGAGCTACTAGGATGATAAAGGGACTGGAGCATCTCCCCTACTCTGAGGGTGGCAGAGCACTGGAACAGGCTGCCCAGGGAGGTTGTGGAGTCTCCTTCTCTGGAGATATTCAAAGCCCGCCTGGATGAAGTCCTGTGTAGCATGCTCTAGGTGAGCCTGCTTTAGCAGGGGGGTTGGACCAGATGATCTCCTGAGGTCCCTTCCAACCCTTACGATTCTGTGATTCTGTGAATAACACGGTCCCACGAATAACGCAGTCCCACGAACAACGCAGGTGGCTTCACCCTTCCTGCGCCAAGCGTAGCTCCCCTGGCTCCTCTCCAGCTCACGCTCCCGCCCCAGGGAGATGGGGTCTCCCTCAGGAATCTCTGCTGGGATTGCACGTAACTAATCGTTGCGTTTATGGTTTCTGCTTCGAACTATTTGCCCCAAAGGTGATGGATTTTATTCACGCCCATCCCCTCTCCCAGAACTCCAAGGCACGGCTCAGGCCTGCAGCGCTTCAGAGAGAAGCCACCCGGGAGGGTCTGCCAAGCTCGGCCACGGCCGGGTCCTCTGAGGGGGGGTGGCACCGGGGGGCCCGCACGACCTCGCCT